GATTTTAATATAATAGTCATGAATCTTATTGTCATTGATTGAATTATATGGAAGATAATAATGGTAGTAATAGTTAATCATATTTTACTGAAATAATATTTATAATGATATAACACTGATAGGTATAATAATTAACTATTGCTTTGAAAAAGTAGGCCATAGCCTAGCACCTACAATCAATGAGTGTCAGCAAAAGGGGCTTAAGTACCCCAGTAATAGGTAGATTTACCCCCACCCTCCTTCTGTTGGTAATGATGTGGCAGACCAAAACAGAAAAAAAAATCATTTTTTTATAATTTAAAATCTTTTTGGTAAAGTATGTTTTAAAACATTTCACAGTAGCCCAAAATTTCACAGTTTTTTTTAGATAGTAGAGGCTTTCCTGTGACCTCCTACCTGGGCTATGCCCTGAACCCTGCAGTAGGTGCTGCCACTGAGTGGTTAGGTGTCTGGTATTCATACAGTAGTTTTACACCTTTTTAAAAGCGTTGTTTCAAATGAAGTGATTATTACCGGTTGCAACCCAAAATATTACATTCTCATCAGCCTAGCGCTACAAAATATGGGTACAAACTCCAGTCCCTATGATCCTTAATGGTTCCTGGAAAGACTTATTGTTTAACAAATAATCTGGTTGGGTCTGACAAAGCATGTGAGTCGGTTTGAAACTTTCTTATAAATATGTTTTTAGAAGTTACAGTTTGCTGACAAAACAAAACAAAAGATGGCAAGCCTCTGATCCAGATGGTGCTGATACTGTACTTCAAAGCTGACATCAGCCATTTACACCTGACAGCACCTGGCTTGGCTAATTAACTACTGTGCCTAACGCCTGGAAGATGGCCATGTGATTCCAATCTACAAATCTGGTGATCACAGTTAAACTGGAAATTACAGGCATATTTTTCAATGCTCTTCGCTGGGCAAGATTTTAGAGAGAGTTGTCATCACTCATCCAGTGGTGGATCCAGAAATTTTCTGCTAGAGGGGGTGGTGTCAGCAAGCAGATCCACACCTACCTCAGCCTCACCATGGTCGGGGCTTAGGTTTACAAGTTTTTAAAATAGGAACCTAGATATTTGGAAATGGCACCAGACTGTTAGTTGGATTTTGTGTATATTTGTTTGCAGGAGAGTGCATATGGCTTCACCTTGATTTGATTAAGAAGATGCACATGTTTTGCCGCTCTTTATTTCCAGTTGTTGACTACGGATATTGTACTATACCCACTTACCCCAGTGGACAAATAGGCTTCATGATGTGCAGTAAAAATTCAGTGAGTATATAGATGTTTCATTAAATCTTTGCTAATTATCTTTACATAGCTTTTACGCTTGTTAGCCCCAATTCTTTATCATTTTTCTGTTCGGTTAGGCACCACTTACTTTTAGATAATATTTTTGATGCATACCAGAATATTGAAATTTGTAACATATTTGATAACCATTGTAAAATATATTTAATAAAAGCAATGACTGAAAGAACTGAACTAATGAAAAACATTACCACCAATATTTAATTTTTACGTTATTTACTGTACTTATAAACTTATATTTTGTGTCATTTTTATTTATTTATTTACTTTATATAAGAATAACAAGCATTGCACAAACATAGATTAATATCTGTCTCTTATACACATCTAGATGTGTATAAGAGACAGCTACAGAATAATGAGAGTATTTGTTTTGTTTGTCCAGTATTTTTTCTTTACTCATTTATCTTTTCAATAATTCATTTTTACATGTTGTCAGTTGTTGTTTTGTAACTGTTGTACGGGTCGAACCTCTCCTGCACAAGAGTGTTCCTCTGTTATAAAAGAGAGAACCAATAAATCTTATCTTATCTTATCTTACAGATTATTCTTTATGTCTCTTTGATATGAACATATCGCAATTCTTTTACAGTAGTACAGTACATATATCATTTATTGTACAGTAGTACTACTAAAATTACATTGCCTCAGTATATCATTTACTGCAGTGCATATAGTACAGTATATCAACTGTAGTTCATATTGTAGTATATATTTTTCTGTAGTACTGTACATACTATACAGTATATCAATTGTAGTTCATATTGTAGTATATATTTTTCTGTAGTACTGTACATACTATACAGTATAGCATTTACTGTGGTATACAATATCATTTATTTAGAAAACAAGTTTATCATTTATTGTAATAAACAATATGTCATATATTTGCATACAGTATATTTGCCATACACAGAATATATTTAATAGCTCGATGTTAGGAAAGCAAATTTAGATATTTTATAGATGTTTGTATTTAAATATTAAGCAGTTGATACATATTGTAATAGTGTAAGAACTGACTCATTTATATTGTAAAAGAAAAGAAAATTTTACCTTAAAGATGTACTGTCTGCCATCAAAAAAAGACCTCACAAATTCATTATCACAAAGTAAGCTCCCTTTGAGTACTTTTTTCCATCGAATCATCATATAATAATTTGAGTGGTTTCTCTTCCATATGTTTATATAATAATAATTTCAGTTCTTTGTCCTATCTATTCATTAGAAATATATGTACTATGTTTCATCTATTCATCATTATAATAACTGGAATACATTTCTCATCTGTTCTTCATATAATTTTATTTTCCATCTCCTGGTATAATATTTTGAGTACTTTTTTCTTCCATTTATTCAGTATATACTGCTATTTCTCACAGTTTATCTTTTTACAGTGGTACATTTACTTAGGTTTGCTAAAAGTATTAATTTTGCATTATGTTTATTCACTCCAAAGGAGACAAATTTTCAAAATCCAGTCCGTAAATGGAGTGAAGAGGAGAAGTTAAAAAACAACCTAAAATACTACAATGAAGCTGTGCACAATGCAGCATTTGTTTTACCAGAATTCGCAAAAAAGGTGAACTATAAATGTTATTGTTATATATTATTATTATTAAATAGTATTTTTACCAATTTATAATTGTATATAAATAAAATAATACATGTCATTTAATATTAAACTCAATAAATCTGATGCTTTTATTGATGATGGTCTGTTTTTAATCAATTCATTTTCATTTGTGTCTGTTTTGCATTTTGTTGTTTGAACTCACTGAATTATACATTATTATGTTTTTCTCTTGATTTATTTCAGAAATTAAAAGAATGATATGGGGCATGGATTTAATCATCTTTTGTCAATCAAGTATTGCAGAGGAACAAGATGCAACACTTAGCATATGCATGCTTAGGAGAATCCAGATGTGGCAAATGGGGCCAAAAATCACCTTCACAATCTTGCATCACAATATCTAACATAGGGTTATAGCTGTAGAAAACTAAGGATGGGTGGTAGACATTTTAAGGATATGTGGGCGATAACATTGGTAAACTAATTATTAATAGTGGATTTTAAGAATGGGCAAGGAAAGGTGGGTGGAAGGCTATGAAATTAGCTTTAGACTAGATGGAAAACTCCAAGACTTGGTGGCCCCGCCCACCATAACTATATCCCTACTAACAGATTGCTTGGTAGTTGATCGTCCAGCTCGCAACACAAGATCTTCCAGCATGACCTCATTGGTTGCACTGAGAACCAGAATACATGCTGGTTGTGTGGTCTTTTCTGCTGCTGCTCCAAGATTGGAATTCACTTTCACCTTAGGAACAATATACATCTTGAGCAATTTAATAACATATTTAAAACAAACCTCTTTGCTCTTTATAAGATGCATTTTAGTTAAGTAAATCGTTCATAATGATGTTGTTATAGGCCACTTATTGTTTTTTGTTTATCTCTGGATGCTGTATATCCCATGCCATCTATGGAAAGGTGCAATACCAAACTTGTGACCATCACATTAGAAGTTAACCCTAACCAAATGTGAAATAATTTTGATAATAGATTAAAGATGGATAAAACTTGAGTTTCAAGGGGACAACTTACTGCATTCAAAAATGCATTCTTTGTGACTGTAGGGTGCCGTATTTTTACAACTAAAACCTGCTTTTCCTCAAGGTCATCCACACAAGCCTATCACACTGACATGAGATGTGCATGGGGCAGATGGCAGTGTGTATATGTTCTATGATCTCATCCGACAGCACTTTATTTTATGAATAAATTATATCAAAAGCTTGATTTTTATTGCATAATTTACATGTATACTGTACTTACACAGTATGGAGGTTGTAGGTAGTAGAAGTAGGGGCAGACCCAGGAAGTCATACAAAGCAACCTAAGGGCAAAAGGTCAAAGTCGGCAATTAGCTCTGGACAGAGGAGGTTGGTGATCTGGCATCAAATGAAAAAAGTTCAACCCATGACGAAGATGGACAAGGACTTAAAACATATAATTATGAGGTGCATGTTTCTGCTGAATGACGCCAAAAACATGCCAAAACTAATAAAAACACGGACGCGAGCATTGGTAGGTGGGTGGAGCTTATAATTGGGAGCTTTCGATTTGTGCGACGACACAACACTAGAACAGAATCACTCATGCGTGACCGTCCTACCTGGCGTCCTACGTTCTCTGCATACATAGATGTAGCCAAATTGCGTTCCAGAATCTACTCGATGAGGTGACCTTAACATTCTCGCATGCCTACACACGAACCTTTTTTTTTTCTGCTTGTGTAAAGTAACGAAGTGAAATTATATAAGCCTAGCCTAGGCCTATGTTTTTTTGTATGTACTGCACCTTGTAAAGTAGTACAAAATGAATATAAACAGAAGCTTTTTGTCTTTCGTGGGAGTCGCCCACCTTTATTGTCTTTTTTTATTGTTTTCATTCATTTTTCCATCTTTAATCTATATTACATTTCAAATAAAATACGGGTAACCCCCGTGCCATGCCCATTTAAGGATTTAATATAAAATATAACAACACCTGCAGTAGCGGTGCCCATAATGCAGTAGCAGTGCACATCTAAGGATTATTATATAAAATATAA